TGAAACTGTTCACGATCTTGGAGTCACTCTCTCTGTCATGGACTATACGGGAATACTCTGTCGAGCGAGGAAACAGAACCACGACTGTACAGTACAGTTAAATACAGCGCGTCTCAAATCATTGTCTTACGTTGTGGTGCCCATCTTCGTATATAGTATTCTCCACTTTAACACTGGTAACATTTTTGTAGGGCCGCATTTTGAACTAGTTGATTACATCAATCCAATTATCCCCCGCCCCTTCCTCGCCACATCCTGCCTCCTCATACACTAATACACACAAGACTACATCAAAGAATTTCAAATTCATCTGTATAACATCAAGTAACTTCAATATCTGATTGATTGATTGATTGATTGATTGATTGATTGATTGATTGAGTCGGTCGGTCGGTCGGTCGGTCGGTTGATTGATTGGGTTTTGTACTCTGTAAAAATCCTGAAACTTGATTGGAGATTGGCGAGTCAAGGGGTTTGGACATTTACCTATATTTTTTATGTAATTCTTTTCGAAAATTATATATGCTATATAAAAGAATTACGTTTATACATACATAAGCACATGTTTTATTGTATTACTTATTGCAATATCATAACGTTTCTTTTACGCGCCAAATGTGACGTCTATTAACGTAGACGTTTGTTTTGTACGTTTACGTCATTTTTCTTTATGTATCAACTGAGGAAGCTGAATAAAGCGAAACATGTTTTGATACTTAATTTGTGTTGGTTTTTTATCCAATTCCTATATTATTAAAGGGCATTCACGCTGATATAGGGGAAAAACTACAGCGTTAATTGACTAAATCACTTTTAATGTTATCTTTTTCTGTTATCAGGGTTGCAGTAAAAGTATCCTGTCGAAAATTATTTAATTTTCTTTAATGACAAATGCAGTTTATTTAAAACAAACGAGACCCTTTTTTTCTTAGTTTTTAAGCGACATTCAAATTGAATTTCTTTCTTCTGTAATGTAATGACGTCACTGGTCACACTGAAGATTAATAAGTACGTGTCCATCGTTCTGTGGTGAACTCTTGGTGTTGCCTGTTGTCACAATTAAGCATCTTTATAATTTTCCTTTATAAAGATAACTCTAGAGACTACAATATGAATGCAATCTCCGACGCAGTGATCTCCCCTTATAAAAATCTGCCAAGGGAGATTATCACTGTGAAGAGTTTGATCAATCTCCACACAGTGATCTCCCCTTAATTCTTCTGCCAAGGGAGGTAGTCACTGTGAGGAGTTTGGAGTTTGATATGACCTGTAATTACCTCCCATTAATTGAACACCTCGCCAATGATCAATAATTCTTATTGGAAAGGGTCGAAAAGGTGTGATTGCGTATTTTTAGTGCGATACAAAATTGAAAGGGAACAGCTGTTTGATTTATCAAATAATTACAGATCAAATAATTTCAGTCAAAATGAATGAAGGAAAACAAGGTAAGTAATACAATTGTATTAGTACTTTTGTAGTTACCTCCCTTTGAAGTTTGACAGCGCTGTTGAAGGTCAGACGGTACTATTGATTTTTCCATACGCTTACAAGAAATGATCTCCGTACCAAAACACGGTACCCAAGAGTTTATAGTTTCTGTAAAACTTTTATGACTGGCTCATAAAATAAGCTTGCTTTACAAACAAAACATTTCGAAAAAAAAGTATGTTTAAAACATTATCATTCTATTAATATCTAAGACAATTTTTCTTTTTTTGGACATTTTAGTCACATTTCTATCAAATTATAATCCATATCCCGCTGATATTTACGGTTGTCCTGCTCTTTGGTAGCGTAGTTCTTATGACAGAGTCTGAGTTATTTTGATGAATGCATGTCAGTTTATCGCAAGGTATTGATTCCATTTGCTGCATTTTCGTCCCCATATTGGCCAACTTCATAATACTCAGTAACCAATTTTATCATTGCAATATTACTCACTATGTCAAAAATACAAAACTAGACATTCAATCATATTTTATTATAATATAGTGCAAAGTATTGGCCAAATAATATGTATATCATATCTGTATTTTCCATCATTGTGCGTATAAGGCAGAACAAATATTTTAATAAGATTTTTAGATAGCACAAAGGCATGCTTCTTGCATGAAGCTGCACAAAATGTGTTCACATGGTTCCAGTCCACTGCATATCTGGATTTTCAAAAGATTAATAGTGCAATTATTTAAGTCTTCTTTTCCGAAAGCGCAATATATTTTATAACGTAGTTTGTAGCATTGTATATTAGACCACTACCACATAAATACCTACCATATTTGTTCAAATTATAATCCTGGGTTAAAAAAAATGCCCCATCCAAGGGTAACTTGTTTTTTACCAAGTCTGATGTAGCAACAAAAATGTCTTCTTCTATTCCATATCTACAAGGCCAAGACCTCTGTCAGATGTTTCTTGGACAGCATTGTCTAGAGGACCACTACTGTGTTTGTTCAAATCATAATCCTTTGGTTCAAACATTTTTCCTCAACCCATAGGCCACTTAATTTTACATCGAGTCAAATAAGAAAGATTAACAGTTTCTAGAGTTAGACATTTTTGTAGAAACATTGTCTAGTGTATCTATACCAAGTCTGTGCAACTCATGACATGGGATCAAAATATATCTCATCAAATGTCAAATGGTTGTCTGTAACTGCAGGCCTAGAGCTAAGATGTGTAACATTGTATATTAGTGTGTAGCATTGCATGAAGAAGGATAAAAACGTTGACTTTTGTTATAACTTAAAAGCTAATGAGATTTTGTACAAATATTAGTGGGTCACTATTTACTCTGTTCACTCTAAGTAAAATCAAGTGACCCTTTTATTTATATATATATGATTTATATATATGGAAAACGCCCCCCTCCCCCCCCCCCCCAAAAAAAAGGAGGGGGAAGCTTCATAGCGGTCCTAAAACAGAGATGAAAACCCGTTTAAAAGCTTCTCAGTTTTGTGTCATTTTTCACATTAAAATAAATATTCTGGAAAAACGGAGCGAGGGAGGAATGATTTGAAAGTTTGCACTCAAATTATTGGTTAAGCAACATCAAAGGGTATATATATCTTGAAAACTATTTTTAGTCCCTTAATGCCAAAATACTTCAGTAGAGTCCCTTTCAAATATTCTTGTCCCAAACCCGGAAGCCTAGGTTTGATATTTTAGGAAGCATTGTTAAGATTGTTAAACAGATCCCTACCAAATCCTTGAGTCAAAATTGATACCGTCTGGGGGGGGGGGGGTACTTTGTTCAAAGAATTATACAGGAAATGAGCTGGACTCAAAATTTTATTGGGCCAATCTTAGATAGCAGCTAAAAATCTTCAATTTTGACGCCAATTTTTAAAAATCAGAAAGAACTGCATTAAGCGCAAAAATATGATTATGTCAAACAAAATGTTAATTTCATGATTTCTTTTTAATCAATGATATAAAATTTACGCTGATGTCTAATTTACTTTATTTCACCTGTCTTCTCTTAAGAAAGCTTTCGTTTGGTGAATTAATATAAGTGTTCATCTGATTGGGCGCATTTGCATTTTTGTCATTATTTTTGTTCTTTTAACCATTATTATTAGTGAATATCTCCGGGTATGTTCCTGCGGGTTTTTTTCGTGAAGAAGGTCAGACTCTTGTATTGATTTTCCCATAGACTTACATTATGAGAAATGGTCCATAATTCTACCTTAAAATTTAGTTATCATGCTTAAGAGGTGATTTTTCTATTAAATGAAATCGTTGTCACATAAAAATGATCTTGTTATACTGGGGTGGCCAACCAATTTTCTTTGCAAAATGACATCAAAGATGATTTCACCTGAAACATTCTACAGTGCTTCCGCCAAGAACATTGTTTAGCAGACGACTTCCTAATGCGTTTGACAAATTGTGACCAATGTGTTGAATTGGTCCTCTAAAAGTACATGACTCAGTAATAGGATTTGGGGTGTGGCATTGCCTAATTAATCTATATTTCGTTTGTTTGAAGACAATGATCGATTTCAGGAGAATGGATAAAGTCCATCGTATACTTCTTGTATTACCTTTTTCACAGTCACCCCATGTGCACTAGGATTGTCAAATTTCGCGAAGTACTGTTTTAACTGTATACCTGGAAAAGTTCTAAGAATTTAAGTACTGCTTTAATTAGAAACCAAAGATATATGTACTGAACACGAGCTAGTTTGTTTTGTACACGTGTAATGTCTAAAGCATTTTCAACTGTATAAATAAATAGATAAATAAATAAATAAATAAATAAATAAATAAATAAATAAATAAATAAATAAATAAATAAATAAATAAATGAAGGGCACATATATTAACTGATTTACTGATATTTTGGCTTGAATTTTTAATAATTAGCTAATTCGGCTATAATATTTTTCGTCATTAACCGTTTCTCAGTTGCAGATATGCTTCATTTCCTGGCTTGAAACAAGTGTGCAACCACTTCACGTCCTTTCCCTTGATATTATAAAATATACTCCAACATCCCATTTTCACCTGATGTACAACTTTAATTAAAGTCCGTGACTGATGTGATCGTTAATATTTATGGTTTTACACGCTATTAGTTATTTTTTTAATAAAAATCTAATCTTATAACTTGATGATGTTGTTGATGTAATTGTTTTTTCTTCTTTTTTCTCATAGGCTTTTGAATAACGTGACGATCTGTACATGCTCTCTCATAATCGAAACTTCAGCACTTGCTCTCTGATGAATCAAATGAAAACTAAAAAAAATTAAATTAATACCATCACTAGTCAGTCTTTCATCGTGTGTTTTAAACACGTAATTATTAAAAACAGACGCTAATAAGCAATAAATATATTAAATATCAAGTACCACGGTTAAAACACGCGTGCGCTAAATGAAAAAGAAATCTTTTGCAGCACAAATGTTTCGAGCGATGTTTAAATAAAAATATTACTTCGGCCTATCATTTGCTTGGCCTTTCCACGGACCTAATGAGGTGTAACAGGTGCGAGGCTAGTGCGCATGCGTAGCTTTTAATTGAATGCTCGCCATCTTGGAAATTTGAACAGACTTTCCAAAGTATTTCGTACAAACAACCGTTAATTTCTCTATTGTTTCGCCTAAATTTCAGTCTTAAGAGAAAGCTTATGGTTCGCCAAAGCATCTGCTTACGGTAAGCAACTTTTATTGTACATTTTGGTGCGAAAGTTTATCGGAAGTCTCGTATTTTGTAACAGGCTTTTGTTCAGCGGACGAGTCGACTTTTTACGAAATGTGTATAATGAATCATCATTTTAAAATGCACTTCAGTCTTGCATGTTTAATTTTGTATATACAAGGCTTTAAGTGCGCAAAATATATCTCTTTTGCAGAAACAATGTGAACAGTGTTTGATATATATCGATACTAATTTTAGCTTCACAACTTCAAAGAACAAATTTATTTTTTGAGAAAGGAGCAGTCTAAAAATAGCATGGGTACGGGTACAAGCTCTTGAAACCTCTCTTTTTGTATATAATACTTAATACAGGGCTTTCGACAGTGATTTTTTTGCTATGTTTAACAGCAAATATAAAGGCTGTTTCCCCAAGCCCAAAATAAGTATATTTTAATTGGAAGTTCTAGCCGTACGTGAGTCACGTACGACTAGCCTGGACACACTATTGGCTAGCCGTACGGCACTTTTCAAAATTATATGGAAGTCGAAAATGCACAAGTTATTTTGTGTCCTTAAACGACGATTTTAATCAAATCTCCGCATTTGTCCTAGTGTGTTCACTTTAATAAAGATGCTCCGCAATTTTGCAAAAAAAAAAAATAATAAATACGAGTACTGTAAGCGTTGTATAATCTATCTTAATAAGATTAAGTGTCAAAGTTGCATGTTATAACGTCCTTAATTTTCAGCTTATGGTTTGTATGAAAGATGAATTGTTAAAACGTTAATTAAGCACATGGATCGAATAAATAATGATCGGAGGGGAATAAATAAATAAATAAATAAAAAGAAAGTAAAAAAACGGTGAAAAGGAAAAATAATTTAATAATGCAAACTTTCCTTAATGATGGACGATGGACAAACTTCTATACCGTCGGTAATTGACGCAATTATCAGAGCCCAACAACAATTATTTTCGGTGTTTTTGTTTGTTTGTTTGTTTTTTTTTTCAAATTAAAAATTACACTTAATGAAACAAAAATGGATTATTATCAAAATTTTGTAAAGTATTTCAATTGATGTTATTTAACTGCAACCAAACGCTATATTTTTTCTCGACGTCTTGAGATGACAAAGTACATTTTTTTCTGTAGCCAACACGTCGATTAATCTCTAAAAAGTAAACATTCTTGTCTAAAATCCTCGCTTAAAGTCATAATTAACATATGCACTTTCGCCTTCCACATATTTTTGAAAAGTGCCGTACGGCTAGCCAATACAGTGTGTCCTGGCTAGTCGTACGTGACTCACGTACGGCTAGAACTTTTGGCTAGCCGTACGGGCCTGTACGGCTAGCCACTTCCATTTTAATTCCCCTAAAAATACTTATATCTTCCTCTTAAATACCCAGTGCTCTATTTTTACCCAAACCTTGATTAAACAACATCTTGTATCAGCTAGAAGACTGAAAGCTCTCTTTATAGATAGCCTCTGCTATGTAAAATGCATGTTAAATTGAATTGAAATTTCATAAAATGTATTGGTAAATTCTATTCTGAGTTGTTAAAATAATCAGACAAGCCACACAAACACGAACATTTAGTAATTTAATTTAATTGCAAACGTTTCGGCTATATGCCTTCATCAGTGCAAATCATAATAAAATTGCTGGGAGCGACGTCATAACGGAACGCGCCAAAAAATCGTTATGGCGTTTAGCGGCAAAAATATGATAACATGTAGAAACAAATATTTATGTTATAAATAAACCTGGTACATGAATTAAAATGGATCAATAGTGAGACAGATGCCTATAAGACAGTGTTAATAAAAATAAGATAATAGACAAACATATTAATATTCATGTAACCTATTATAAATCAAACAATACTTTATTATTTAGTCCATTTTTTTTTTTTTTTTTTTTTTTTTTATTCTGAGTTGTTGGAATTTGAGTTCAGATTTTCATCTTTTCTGACTTATTGCGTTTTATTTCCCCCTTTCAGAAAGCAACATGTTGTTTTAGATATTAGAAAAAATCACTGTTCAGGCCTCCTGATATTTTTAACTAATATTGGTGTCCAAGGAGTGTATGTTTGATCAAAAATATCATCTATAGGTTTTCAGAGGGGTACCTCACACTTGGCCAGGGCAATTTCAAGCCTTTTTACCCCGGTGCCTTAACGATTCGGCCTCAAAAGTCTGATTTTTTCAGCACCTTTTGTAAATTTGATAAAGATAAAAAGTATTGACAATTATGAGTTAATTATCAAATCACAGGAACTTGATATTCTGTCAATAAATAAGAATTACAGTTAAATATGTACCCCTATAAACACAAGGGATGCAACATCTTTTCACTGACCTATTTTTATGAAGAGGGTACATATTTTACTTTAATTCTTATTTATTGGCAGAATATTATGCTCCTGTGATTATATATAACTCATACTTGCACTTATAACATTATCAAACTATAAAATAACTTAAAAGGACATTGACTATAGATAATATGTTGGTATATAACAAAAAAGAACGATCGTTACAAAATTGTGATATCCAGAATATATTTTCAAAAATTGTTCTTTCATTTTAAAGGGACTCCATGGAGGTCTAAAAGCTTAAAAATAGAAAGTTTGAATTTCTTACATAAATAATCTGGGGCACTTAAAACAGACATGCAAAGTTAGTTGAGAAATATATTTAGAAATAAATTGAAAATCTTGTTTTTGAGCTTGTCTTAGTCTGATTTTGATGAACAGCATTGAAAGGCTTTTCAGTTTGAGGTCATTTTTAACAATTTGAATTATGATTCTAGACATAAAGGAGTGAGCAAATATCTGAAATTGTGCACAAAGGTTATTTGTCTCCATCAACAGAAATTTTTTTCAGTCCACCATGTCAAAAAACCTCAGTGGCATCCCTTTAATCTACAATCAAAGAATAAAGATATAAATGGAGTTAAATTCAGAATGACTTGCATGGGAACAGATTTTTAGGCACTTGCCTGATGTGTTCAGGTTGTTTCTACTTGTGAAAACTTTCTATATAAAAACCAATTGAAATAATATTAAAAAAACACCACTGAAAAGTCCTGGAGATGAAATGAAATGTTAAGATACCACAAAGAAAATTTTTGAAAAGGCTAGTAGTGTCATGATTGTAGTGCCTTCCCTGGCACAGGTTGTCATCGGTCATTGGAATGAAATTTTTCTTATCAGTTAATTGACCAAAGGGGGTCAAGTAAAATTGGTTCAGATGGGATATTTTGTGATGAAAATACCTTGCTTCTAAAGGTGTGGTACTGTTTTCTTGACTTTCAAATTTGACCTTGTGATCTGTAGGAGGTATGGGTCATAGGTATTTATTTAGAAGTTGCCAATTTTTATGGGATGCTTGAAATTCAAACAGGGTGAAGCCCTTCCTAAGGAAACAATAAAATATATATGCATAACAGTCAATGCGAAAGTCAAAAATTTTCTCCAGCCACAAGGACTGGGATCCTTAGTTTATTTCCGGCCCTGATGATTTTTTTCCCGGCCTTGACTCTGAAAGGTATTTTTTGTAAGGGTGGGGGGATGGATATTGCCATAATTATAAACAAAGAAATTTAGCAAATATGAATTATCAGGCTCAACTATAAGATACTATGAAAAAATATACAGAAACAAATTAAATAAAACATTAGCATAATTCACAAGGAAACGATACATCTTTCAAAGATTTAATTTTGAAGATTGGAGAAAAAATATGTTTTGGTAAGGAAACTATCCAAGACAAGATGGTGGCTAAAATCTGGTTGTATCTTGTGGTGATTTTGGTTATCTGGGTCTGTGAATACAAGCAAAAATGAAAAAAAAGGTCAACCTTGAAAGTTTTGCATATCTTAGAAGGCCAAAAATTGTTTCAAACTGGCTGAAATTTTATTCTGACATGAGGACTGACTGTATAGAAATTTATCTCGTCCCTCATGATTTTTAGTTTGCGAGATCCGAGGACCCAGCGACAGACTTTCTCACAGACTGGCATAATATCCCTCCTGGCCTCTTATAATGTTTTGTGTTCCATACATATTTTAAAAATGAAGTTTACTAGCTAATAAAAGTTTTACATAATATTTTGCCTACATGTGAATGATTCAAGCTTGGTTGTTTAAGAACCTTTTGACTAATTTTCAACATCACTTCAAATGTCCCAGTACTAATGGTTTTTTTTCCCTCGTCCAATCAGATAGTGTTACTCTGCATAGGTGGTATGGTTCTATGTGCTGAACAGTCAGAACAGTATACTGAAGTATAAATCTAATATGAAGCAGTGCATTTGGGTATATTCAAACTTAAAAGAATCAGAACATCCTTAATGAGCGTAACCTCTATACCTGCCTGAAATATTTTAACAGAAAGAAGTGGCTCATTCTTGTGCATGACAGACCAGGACATATTCACAATATAGAGAGAGAAACCCGGGGGGGATGGGGGAGGGAGGTGGAAATAATGAATATCAGGCCATCCTTAAAAAAATGTTTGTTTGCAGTAACGCGACCGACTCACAAAATTTGCCCCTACTCAAAATTTTTTTTTCATGGTCTGGATAAAAAAAAATTTTTTTTGAATCAAAAAATTTTGCCTTGTGCTTTGTTTTCGTTCTTTTAAAGGTTAATAGAAGAAATAAAATGTAGGTCTTATTAAATTATAATTCACTTATCAATTTATTAATTGTTACCAGATTATCAAAGCATATAATTGTCCAGCATTTGAAATTCCATGTTTAAGAGTACAGTTCAATAAAAAAAAAATAAAAAATCGACCTACCTACCCACTTTGAAAATTCTGGGTTGGGTTACTGCAAACAAACTATTTTTTAAGGATGGCCTCAGTGTATTATATTTATAAGTGTAATAACATGATTGTATAATTATGGTATAATTATGCATTATAGTATCTATAATAATCCAACTTTCCAAGAAACATGAAAGTCGTCTTCAATATTATTGCAAGGTTGTCATTCTCATGAAT